GTATGTGTGTATGTGTGTATGTATGTATGTATGTATGTATGTATGTGTGTATGTGTGTATGTGTGTATGTGTGTATGTATGTGTGTATGTGTGTATGTGTGTATGTGTGTATGTGTGTATGTGTGTGCGTGTGTGCGTATGTGTGTATGTGTGTATGTGTGTATGTATGTGTGTATGTGTGTATGTGTGTATGTATGTGTGTATGTATGTATGTATGTATGTATGTGTGTATGTATGTATGTATGTGTGTATGTGTGTATGTGTGTATGTGTGTATGTATGTATGTATGTATGTGTGTATGTATGTATGTGTGTATATGTATGTACGTATGTTATGCTATAAGAAAAGTATACGTTTGAGATAAATACTTACTTACCATGCATGTATGTCTGTCTGATATTATAAAAATAATGGCTTATAATCTACTACAGCAAACCACTGCATTACTGAACTGTTCAACACTTACAATAAGATAGTGTCCTAGATTCGCCGTGTCTCTGCTGACAAATATCAGAGCAGTTGTTTATATAAAACACCCCACAGAGTTTGCGCTGGACAGGGAGCAGCAATTAGGAACTCAAATTCATTTCTGTCTCTCCTGCTAACACTGCCCACAATATTACATGGAATGGTTTGACTCGAGAGGAAAATGACAAACGTGATGAGGTAGATCACTTACTTGAGCTAAAACAGATGCCGTATTAAAAACATTTTCAGATAATGCGGTTTATTCCCATTGTCAGTGTGTGATCTGATCTATGGGGTACTCCAGCTCCTGCAGTCATCCATCACTGTCACAAATCACACAAAGTTGCAATGGAAGAAATGTCACAGCTGATAGAGTCGCACTTGTTAACGCTGATTGAATTGACTAAGATCATGATGGAATGATTTACAATGATTTACAACAGTTGAAACGAGAGAAAAAAACAGACAAGCCTGCAATTCTTTAGAGCATCTGTTGTATCTGTAGTATATAGACTATAGTATTTTAGAGATTTGTTGTCCCCTAAATATAACAATAATGAAGTAGGCTATTGAGAATGTGACAAACAATAATCCTCAAAGTGCAAAGATGTTAATTATTTTAATATTTACTTGTTTCTGATTATTACTTATTTCTGATGGTAGTAACCATAGTTGGCAACAAGCTGTAGTACATACAACAGTTGTGCCACCGTGACGCAGTGGTGTGGGTACCGCTTGTGCTTCATAGTAAGAAGGTCCTGGTTTCGATTCCACCTCCAGGCGTGACCTACCTTTCCGTGGGGAGTTTGCATGTTCTCCTTGTGTCTGCGTGGCTTTCCTCCTGCTGCTCCAGTTTTCCCTATCACTAAAAACATGTACAACACGAATGAATGTAATGAGAAAGTGAGCTTCGATGTCTCAGTGTGTTCGGCGTCTGTGTGGAGTGAATGGAAAATTACCGGTAATAGACATAAAACATTGTATAGTGCTTTGTGTGACCTTGGTTTGTGAAATGCGCTACGTAAATAAAGATACTCTCTCACTACTCACTATATTCACATTTGTACAAAAACAACAACATATTATACAGAGAGTTCTTTCCTCATCAGCATAAACAGCAAACACAACAGGGAGTCTTCTCTGTGAACTTTTGTAATGACTGCTTTTTAGAGTTTTAATTTCATTATGGAGATTGCCAGCTCATTACATTTGTCTCTGTAACGGCCCCTAACATAATTATCACATGGCTAAATCTGATCCCCCTAATCTCCTTTTCATCGCTGTGCTTCTCCGTCTCCAAAGACCACGGCCTGATGTACGCAAACACGAACAGATCTGTCATCTTCATTTGCATAGAAAGCATTCAAGCAAAGAATAAAGGGCCAAAGATGAAAATTACATTAGTATCCTTGAGCAATTATATTCTTTTAGGTATTTCTGCATTCATACACTCACTCACACATATGCTGCAGATGACTGGTATCAAAATATATATATTTTTTAAAGGACATATGTAACCATAGCAACACACTGTCAAGCGTGAAATTTCCTCCTGCTGAAAAACAATTAGAAGTGACATTTATCCACATGTGAAGCATTTGGGCGTCGCGGGGGAACAGGGATCGAACACCCACTCAAATTGTTCTGGCAAATCTACTTCCTTCTAAAACTGGGGTACGGAGGGAGCAGAGGCAGATTACAGCTTTATGTTCATTAGTTGTGTAGGAGAAGCTTACACGGCTCCCCGTCGAGCTGGAGAGCGCAGAATGTAGGCTTTGTATTATTATTGCAAGAATGTGCTCTTTTGGTAGAAAATGTATTGCATAGGTTTTAGGATGCAGGGTTCATCCTCTGCTTGTTCCACAGTCTAACAAATACATAAAGTATTCAATTGTTTCTAAAATGGCAAAAATATTATTTTGAGTATAGTCATTTCCGTGCTGGTGTGGATAAGTTTTCTGGTATTTCTATAAAAAAAATCTGCAATAATACTATGAAGGGAAAACATATGTTATGTTATGTAGTTATGGAGGTTTACGATATGGTATTTTAAAGAATTGAAGCTTCCCATTAAAATATACAGAGGCCAACTGCACCAAGAAACAGTTTATTTATTTATCTATATAAATTGTCAAAACTCTGTAAGAACAAAATTATTAGAAGTAGCAATCATTTGTTGTAGTTGGTAAAATTGCCCATTGGATTTGATGCATCCTTTCTAAGATGCAACCTCCTTGTTTTAGGATTATCTATTTGTCTTCCTATTTTGAGGATTTATATTTTGAGGAAATGTTTTCGATTTAAACAAGTCAAATCTTATTCTAATTTGTAATCACTCCTGTAAGTCCTAATTCCTCATCATTATCAAACCAATGGATTGTGCATGCATCACTTAAAGTAAAACAAGCAACATTTTCAATCGTAAAAATGTTATGCATAGAAAATATATGCTGTAAATAATTAGTGCATTTAAAGCAGTAACCTTTCTTACATTTCCTCTGCTTCCATCTGTGCTGGGTTCATGTGTGACAGACATTTACAGGTACATTTTCTTCATTTCAGACATTACTGTGAGCCTCACACTCAAGTCTCTGCCTCTGTGCCATATGGTGCTCAAATCTCAGCTTACTCCCTCCATCACTGCGCTCCTTGTGCCAAGAATATGTGCCTTAATGTTTCATGTTCGGGTGACGGGGGCAGAAATAATGACAGACCATGATAAGCTGCTTCTCAGAACCGTTTCCCACCAGTGAATGAATCATGTAAGAAAGAATCAGCAAGAAAACAAGAAAAGACCTCCAGTTTTAAGGGACACATTTTCTCCATGTTTTTCCATCTGTTCGTCATTTTATTGCTTTGCCAGAAATGTTGCACTCTTTTCTTAGTGTCTCCATTGATGCACACGAAGCCTGCAAACCAATGAACCATGAAGATGTTCAATCTCGGCTTCATCAGGATCATTTTTCTAGAGGATATATGGTGCATGTTTTGAGTGGTGAGGGAAACTGGATTGCTGGAAGAAAACCCACCAAGATGCAAACATACAAACTCCACATAGTCACGCATTGGAATCAAACCCACAACCTGTATGGTCTGGCATGAACTCTACCCTGCCCCGTGCAGCCTGCTCATACAAACAAAGAATGTTTAAATGTATGTATTAACTATTAAAACAGAAGGAAGTGTGTCTGGACAGGCAAGTCTGTCCGTCTCTGCTCAGACTGTTATAAAAGAACACTGAAGGAATATATTAAAAATACTTCAGGATACACAAAATAGACCTCTGCAAGTTATGCAACCATCTTTATGCTTTATTTTTTCTTTCATCAGTTTGAGGGGAACATCTTTATTTGTCGTAACATTTTAAGTGAGCTGGATGTCCCTACCTGTGTGTCATTTTCATGGTGATGAAAATGCCAGTCCTTTTGCAGAACCAGGAGCAGACCTATTATCAGCTCCTAAATCAGGCCAGCACCTTGCAGAGATATTGCATGTGACTCATTTTCTGACAGAAACAGCGTGACAGCTTCATCATTGTGGGATACAGCTGGATTTGTTAGCTGTGCACATTTGTTACAGAATTTAACGCCTCAAAGCGAAGCCAAAACCATTCAAGCCATTTCCACTCATTGTTTTGCAAAAGCTTAGCAAAATAAAACGTGAGAGATTAATGTAGATGTGGTATGCCAAGCCAATGTACATGTGCAAAATGCAAGAAACTGGCTTAAAAGGCTTTTTAAATAATGCACACGTCACCACAGTTTGCTTCATTCAGAAGTTGAGGCACATGCCGCCTTTCTTTTTGCATATATTCAAATGAGCTGGTGTGAAATGTCCTTTTGATGAAAGTGGGTTGTCATGTATTTTTAATGCCATGGTGTGGTGCAAATTGTGGATGGTAATGAGGACTGACATGTTGAAAACAGGCGGCTGCACTTGTCGACTCCCAGGTGCAGCCACCACTCAGGAAGGAGCTCAGCTGGTGTCCTGTGTTTGTCTCAACAAGCGGAGAACATCACCTTACTGACTCCAAGTCTCGAATCAGTGTTCCAGAAGTGACAGGGGAAAAATCACAGCACACTGAGATTTCTTAGTATTTTTATATTTTACAAATCTGAAGTCTGTACAGGTACATTTAGAAAATATTTTCTCAGGTCTATTCCATCACTTCCCATTATTTTATGTCCTGAGACCTGAGACACTATGAAAATATTACAGCAGATAGTGTCAGAAAGCTTGCTACACAGTAGCAAATAAAAGACCGTAAAAACAAATACTTCTTGGACCCTTTAAAGCGTCAACAGTTTTCTGACTAATCTATAACAAACCGCCATTTCAAATATGGCAAGAAAAGGTCTGCCTCAAGCCTGAGTAGGCAAAGCAAATGTCTTAATTATGATGCTCCAGAGACTCCAGATGCTTTCAGTGTGGTTTGCCCGGTCGCTGCTTTATAGGCCTCTTTCACTCTCACACAATCACTTGTGCAGAGGTGTGCAGCCGGGGCTCTGCTCCTGTGTCCCTTTAGAAGGCCATCATGACAAATTGCTAAACAGCACATTTGTGATGAACCATTTCTGCCCAGTGCATTTCTGTAGAGCCAGCTGGTAGCCAAACTCATTGTCGCTGCCGGCAACGAGCTCGAGGCATCTCTTTGATTTCCTGTTCTGAATGGGCCCTCCCTGAAAAGAGCAGAGATTGTTAGGAATGTACAATCCTGGACAGTTTGTGCATCCTAAATCCATAGTGTGTACAATTTATACATCGGTATAGAACCAACATAGAAAAACCAAAATGAATGAATAAACAGAACGGTGGCCTTGTTTATCAGTGAAACCAGGATTTTATGAATTTTTATAGTACTTGTAAATCTTCTACTGCGTACTACATGTACATTCATGATGCATTATTAAGGAGACAAAGAGTCTTTGATTTGAGAAGGATCAAAAGATCCAGAATATGAGGCTCCAAGGACTTGGTTAAGAACATATTATAGTTCTGACAGAAGACTGAGGCAGTCAAAAGTTACAAAAATCTTTAAAAGCCTTTATTTGACATGGCAAAAAGAGGTTAAAATTACGCCTACGCGTTTCAGCCTTCTGGCCTTCTTCAGGCCAGAAGGCTGAAACGCGTAGCACTCCAGCCCCGTCTACTGTTTTCAAAAAGAACATATTATAAACTAGTGACTCTCGCATCTGGAGTTTGCTGTTCTGCAGTCCGTAAGTATAATGATAAAAAGATTGTAACACATAATTGGTCAAGCCAAATACAGCAGTGGACGCTCTGGGAGTGTCCTTGATGTAAACAATTTCAAAGAAACACTGAATACTGAGACACGAAGGACAAACGTGTTAGTGTTACTACTGCCACCCATACAATACGCAAGCTACTGTATTTACCCTATTTTTGAAATTATTAATTGTTAATTATCACAAGTATCACTTGTGAAACTTGCGTCAATCCAATGGCAAATGCACCACTACAATATTGTACTTTCTTTCTGTAGTGGTCACATCACATGTCATTAATGAGACAAGACCATGGCAAGTGACATCATATTTATGGATCTGATAAAACTTGGTTTTATATCAGCATCTGAGGTTCTGTGCTCCATTAAGTGCAAACAATACTGACAGTGCATCTTCTGCTAATGTTGCTGATGCTATTGCTTGTTATGAAATGAGTTTTTAGAACTTTGCTAATTTTAATGGTACAGTGTATTCTTTCACAGAATGGATTGTATTTGCAACTTTTAACTCATGTCGTCAAGTGCCAACTTTCTTTTCCTTGTTGTCATTTGACTCATAACAGTTCATTATTGAGTATTCTTCACTGAAAAACCAGTGTTATTGAAAAGTTAAGTTTTTAAATAAATCTTAAGTTGCTAATTCTGTTCAGCCACTGTCATGGGGCATATCACAAAACAGAAAACGCCTGCTGCAACTGAGCAGTAATGAAGTAAACCATTTGGTTAAGTGACTCTTGAGCACTACAGCACTTGATTAGCAGAAGCTCGTTTACATGTTCAGTGTTTTTGCATTAACAAAAGTACCTGAGTGAAGAGCCAGTGCATCTTCATGCGCTTAGCTGCAGAGTAACTGCATTCGATGAGACGCGCTCTGCCGTTCACGTCCACCAGGCACTTGTTGTCGTCATCGTCCACCGTCGGACTGAGAAGCCCCACGTGGAGTTGGTGCGCACTCGTGTAATACACATTCTGAAAAACGGCATAAATGAACGGTGTTAGCCGCCGGGACTGACATTTGGATAATGAGACTCCACAGCTGCAGGTAATAAAACATGTCTCTAATATGAGCTTAGGGTCTGTCTCGAAGAACAGACACGCATTACAAATACATTAGGCTGATTTATATTCATTATGATATTATGGTATTACCGCATGGATCAGTCTAGTTACACGAGATCAAGAGGAGAAGAATAATGATCTATGGCTTTTTCACTCACACAAACCTTTGATAAATGTAGCCCAAAGTATTTACCTTTCAGATGAAGAGGTTTTCTAAAGGTTCACCTCATTATAAGTAACACTTGTTTATGGCCTCGATTTAGGTCAAATTAATGAGGGTGCCATGAGAGCCTACAGTCGCCAAACTGACTGATCTATGGATCTTGCTATTTCATTTGAATGAGATTGTTATTTACTGGCTGCAGTCTCTCCTTCTTTGTAAAGCACAGCCATAATTCTTGTCACCTCCCTCACAGCAGACCTTTAACTGTGACAAGTGTGATTTTTCAGCACAATACTCATTTCTGCAACAGTGCGCGTACAGGCACCGTGCGTTTCTTTTGTACATCAGTGTTATGTGTTTCGGTACATGCAGCAACTGTATACTGCACTCTTCTCTGTATATAATCAAAGGCTACTCTTGCAGAATCAGACTCATTCCCTATGTTTCATTTTCATTGGTTTTGACAAAAAGACTGTGGTAATGATCCAGGACACACTCTACAACATTTATGGACATTTATCAACATTCATGGACATTGGTCTCTCCCTATGGACATATACCTATGTGTTCTATATTTTTTCTGTTTGAACGATTTCAACGGTTTTGTTAAGTCCTTTTAGAAAACTACTGTTGTGATTAAGGGCTATACAAGAATGAATACATGAATTGAAATTGACAGACATGTATAAAACATAAGGACATTCATAATCTTCTGAGATACTAATTCTATGATTTTTTTTTTTTTTTACATGAATAGAATATGTGATTCAGATTTGCTTTTAAAGCTTCCCATTGATTATAGGGAAAATAATACTGTTAGAGTGAAGCGTGTCCAGAACACAGAATTTATATTTAGGAGAATTACAATTGATCAAGTATTTAGTATATAATACGAGTTTACAACTGTCAAAGCAAGGTTAAACAACGCGTGAAAGCAATAGTCTCCGACATAATGGGATGAGGGATCAATAGGAGTGGGAAGAGGCTGTGCAGCCGAGTAAATGATAATCAAGCTAGTGATGCTGCAGCCACTAAACGCTGTGTTATTGTGGAGACGTATCCTGCAGCAGCGGAGGCCTTTAAAAGCACGATTTAATGTGGTGGCTCAAAGTGACACACTTAATGAAAGTGGAGAAGCATTGTGTGGCGACGGGCAAATCGTTCCAGTTTTGAATATTCACTTTAGATTAAAAGCAAAACAGGCATAAACATAACAATAGCCCTTTTTCTAAAGTGGGTTATGACTGAACAAGACATACTTTTGAAATAAACAAAGGCTTTTATTGGAGGCAAATGGCGCAAATGGTGTTGGAGAATCTGTCACATATGAAAATTGCACTTGTACTGGGTGGAATACTTAGCAGAAATAATCTCATGTGTGACATAACGGGTTTGTTTCACTGTAAAACTTTTTAATTTATGACAAATTATAAATTAAATTGTTATTACATTATATGTTTTTTCTTCAAATTGGAATCCTAAGAATACAACAAACTACTGAAACTCAAACTTCTCAGTCTTACTCCTATTTGGCCAAATGGTTCCGGTCTGACCTCTGAGGCACAAGCAAACCAGAAATATGGGGCCAGACTGCAAAGGACTTTTTGAATGAGCATGAAGATTTAAGTCAATTTGTGATGTTTCCAAAGGTCACCCATCAAACTACTAACCAGGCCCTGTCCTGCTTAGCTTCTGAGGTCTGACTTTCCTGTAAGTCTTTGTATGTTATATTTCTTATTAATGATATATACCAAATACGTTTTATAGGAGAGGAGCAAGAATGGATTTAAGAGTTTTTTTTATGTGATAAAAAACATTTCCGACTCTCAGCGACAAACACAGAGTTGTTTTTTTTCCCGGAGAAAAGGCCTCAGGACACAACACAGTGATGTGTGAAGAGTGCCCTTCAGAATAAACAGAGCTGTCTCTCACCTGTGGTGTCATCCCATGACACAGATACAGAATGGGCACGTTGTCATTGTCAGGACCTTGGTCCAAGCACAAATCAATCTTCAGAGAGTTTTTCAGCTGGAACACAAACATAAGAACAGTGTAAGAGAATGGTTAGGTTTATTTGCTTTAATTTAAAACATTGTCTCATTCTATTCAAATGTGAGGATAAACGTCTTGATGAAAGTTATAATAATTTGTTGAAACAAAAAGAAAGGTTCAGTCTCAGAGCAATCATATTTGGTCTGATTAAATAATGACTGATGCTGAAGCAGTCAATCAGTCTGGCATTGACGCGAGTAATAAACTGAAGACATAATGATTAAAAGAGTCAAAATTGAAGTTTGTTTTCTTAGTTTTACAGCTTTGGTAATTGTAGGAACACTGCTGATTTAACAACAGCACCAAAACATTAGTAAAGAGTTGAGTTGAGTTTTTCGGATTCTTCTCTGATAGGTAGAATTGCTTTGCGCTGTAGGAGATTCGAGTGAGACACAGGGCAAATTGAGAATTTAGAGGAGCACAGTTGGGGTTACTTCTACTTCCTGTTGTCTCCAAACACGTCTGTATATCGCTGTGTGTTCCCATTTCAATTTGGAGAGACGAGAAACGAAAATGGTTTTGAGTATTTATTGAGGTGGTTTGGCGCCCTAGGCCCCGGTGCGGCCTTCAGATCGGAGAGGCTCCTGCGATGGAGCGCGTACAATCCCCCGGGACCTAGGCACTGGTGGCGGCATTTTGGCAGATTGGAGGCAGATTGGAGGCAGATTGGAGGCAGATTGGAGGCAGATTGGAGGCAGATTGGAGGCAGATTGGAGGCAGATTGGAGGCAGATTGGAGGCAGATTGGAGGCAGATTGGAGGCAGATTGGAGGCAGGGTGAAGAGGAGGAGGAGGGGAGGCGGTGGTTGCGAGGCTTCGAGAAGGCAGAAAGTGAGAGTTGCTCCGCTTTTAAGCGGCTGCCTGTCCGGCACGGATGATTGGAAGGGGGCGTTTGCCGAGCGATAGGCTGGGGAAGCGAACCGGCCTGGAGGGGGTAGCTTTTGCTGACGTCTACCAAATTGAATTTTCGCGAGCTACATTTCAATTTGGAGAGACGAGAAACGAAAATGGTTTTGAGTATTTATTGAGGTGGTTTGGCGCCCTAGGCCCCGGTGCGGCCTTCAGATCGGAGAGGCTCCTGCGATGGAGCGCGTACAATCCCCAAAAAGCTGAGTGTGTTGATGGAGTTTTGCAGCCTGGTTTGCAGGAAACAGACGTCGTGGCTACTCTATGCTGTGACCGCTATCGCTATGCTGTGACCGCTATCGCTATGCTGTGACCGCTATCGCTATGCTGTGACCGCTATCGCTATGCTGTGACCGCTATCGCTATGCTGTGACCGCTATCTCTATGCTGTGAACCGTTTATGCGCTAACCATTTTTTGCTATGCTGTGACCGCTAACACTAACGCTATGACCGCTACCACTGACGCTATGACCGCTATCACTGACGCTATGACCGCTATCACTGACGCTATGACCGCTATCACTAACGCTATGACCGCTATCACTAACGCTATGACCGCTATCACTATGTGCTGTGACCGTTATATGCGGTTATCTTTGAGTGCCGGGACGTGAGCGCTCGCATCACGATCAACCGGACGCTGCGGCAGGGTTATCTTTGAGCGCTGGGACGTGAGCGCTCGCATCACGATCGACCAGACGCTGCGGCAGGGTTGTCTTTGCGCGCTGGGAACGTGAGCGCTCGCATCACGTTCCGTCAGACGCTGCGGCAGCGGAGAGTGTTTGAGAGAAGTGCGTGCCGCCACCAGAATCTTATTGGTTCACTTACTTTGCTTCGTATTGCTTTGCTGGGAGCTTACGAGGAAGCCAGTTGACGTTGTGCAGGCAGGATAGCGGACGCGTCTGGCCTGATGTAGGCGGAGAAAGCCGCAGAGGACCGGCGCCCCAGCTGTTGCGGAGAGGTGTGGGGGAGCCCCAGCGAGGCCGCGATGGTCCTGGAAAAAACCCCCCAAAACCCACGGAAGGGGCACGTCCGTGTAGAAGCTGAGACCTGGAGGGGCAGAGACGTATCGGAGAGGGCCATGAAGTTGCAGGCGCCTTTACGCTTAGAATCTTGGGTTGGAGAGTAGATAATCAGGATAGTAGGATGGTCGGGAAAAGCCGTGTCTCGGACCGCACGAAGGTTGAGTGTGCAGTAGTGAAACGCTTATGCAGAGAAGCCATGGAAGGCGAGCAGGAAGATGCTGCGAGGATGGCAGACATGTACCTGGAAGATGAGCCGGAGTTCAGTGCCGCTGCAGGAATGGGCAGCATGATTGGGAGCCTGCGATCAGAAGAGTGAAGAACACGGTATGGATGCCTTTGATTAGGAGTCCGATTGACGGCTCAGCGCAGCTACTCGGCCAGCTGCATCTGATAGAATCAGAAGATTAAGTAGAGAGATGAAGCACGACCGCCGAAGTGACCCTGGGAGCGAGTCCAGTGCCGCGCGGCATACTCGGCCGGGCTGCATCCATTAGAAGCAGGATAAGCTTCTGAGAGGGTGGGTTGCAGCAGTAGCAGTAGCAGCAGCGGCAGCAGCAGTAACCTCAGATAATAACGGCAACGACCTGTATCAGCCGCGGCAGCAGCAGCTGCAGCATCCGTAGATAATAACGGCAAAACCCTGTATCAAAGCCACGGCAGTAGAATATGTTGTAGCTGTTTAGTGTTTCAGTAAGAGAAGCGAAGTGAAGAGAGATGACAAAGTACATGAAGCAGCAGCAGCACGGCAGTAGTAGCAGTATGAAGCAGCAGCAGTAGCAGCAGTAGCGGTAGCAGTATGAAGCAGCAGAAGCAGTATTAGCAGGAGCAGCAGCACCACGAAGCGATTCATACGAACAGACAGACGTGTCACGCCAGCGTGCGCCGCTTGTCTCCGTGAGCCAGGTTACGTACGTGTCTGAAAGAGCCGAGCCACAGAGACGGGTGCAGCCTGGGAGCCTGCGGAACGGCAGCGGCACATGTAGTAGTAGGAGCAGCAGGAGCAGCAGCAGGGACAGACAGCAGCAGGAGCGGCAGCAGGAACAGGCAGCAGCAGGAGCGGCAGCAGGAACAGCAGCGGCGGGATCAGGCATCAGTAGGAACGGCAGCGGGGACCGGCAGCAGCGGCGGTCAGAGAACCAACCCACGGTTGTTTAAGAGCCTGAGGGAATAAATCAACCCGAATCCGAAACATTCCCATGCGAATAACAGACGTCCCCTGGAGCCATCTTCTGCTTTGGTTATGGCAGATGCGCATGAACGATCACTGATCCATGCGTTCATAGCCCCAACGCTACTTCACACCCATTGCAGATTCACGTTCGGCCCTTTTTCTTCCTGCTGCACTTTCAAAATGCAACACTGCAGTTAGTTACCTAATTTAATACCAGCGACCTAGCTATTTAATGCATGGTTTTACTGCAAGTGGCAGAACATGATCTGAATTAATGCACATAGCTCCTCGTATATCCCTCAGACGATAGAGATTGATGCCATTTAATATGCATTGCCCCTCGGTTAGCTCAGACACGTGTGAAAACGGAGCCTGCAGACCAAGCTCGGGGCGAAAAAAAACCGGCGCCTGCAGTCAAGTGCGTAGGGCAAAAACCAATCGCCTGCAGCCCAGAACTCCGGGATTAATCTGTCCGCGGTCAGCACACTCACTGTACTCACATGCCAGGAGACTCGGGAAAAGCAACGGGACAACGCGGCACCGCCAATCGAGGCAGGGACACGCACGGCACCGCCAGACCTTCTGCGTGCGGCAGCAGACCACGAGGAACGAGCCGCACAGAAACCCGCGGAGGGCCCCGCGGAGCAGCCCGCAGAAAGAGCCCGCAGAGGAGGAGAGCAGTGAAGACATGCGAACCACAGCAGGTGCAGGGACGTGGAAGAGGAGCAGACCAGTGCAGGGACGCGGAGGAGGAGCAGACCAGTGCAGGGACGCGGAGGAGGAGCAGACCAGTGCAGGGACGCGAAGGAGGAGCAGACCACAAGCAGCCAGACGGAGGACGCCAGGGACGCGCACGAGTAGCGTGAGTAGACGAAAACGATTCCTCCAGACGATTCTCTGCAAGGCTTCAGGAGCTTGCGAGGCTTCGAGAAGGCAGAAAGTGAGAGTTGCTCCGCTTTTAAGCGGCTGCCTGTCCGGCACGGATGATTGGAAGGGGGCGTTTGCCGAGCGATAGGCTGGGGAAGCGAACCGGCCTGGAGGGGGTAGCTTTTGCTGACGTCTACCAAATTGAATTTTCGCGAGCTACATTTCAGCAGCATGAGTCTCTCGCATTCGTTGGTATAACTCACAACCAAAACAGAGCTATTCCCATAATGACAAAACTTCCAAAAACAATAAAAGCCTTGTGTTTATTTAGCACAAGCGACAGCAGAGTGACCCCTAAAACGAACCGACTCACAGCCCTCAAACTTGTGCAGTAAATATAGAATAATGAGGTCACACACCTCGGAAAGTGAATGTAATGAGCCTGGCCTATTTCTCCTCAGCTGTTTGTGACTTTTTGACAGAGAGAAAACACTGAGGTCTTTGCAACACTGTGCCAGATGAGACTGCGTGTGTGTCTCAGTGCGTTAGGCTGCATTTGTGTGACGGGAAAGAGGCGGGCCTGGAAATGAACGACCGGAGTGGGCAAATAGAACGGCACTAAGGCTGTTGGCTTTCGCGGACTAATGCACTAATGCAAAAAGCTCCGAAGCACACTGCAGTACATTTGTTTAGAGACAGAGAATTCGGTGCGGCCATCAGGAGAAAATGGTTAGCAATTTGTGCTTATGACAGGTTTGTATGAGTTCCAAATGTTGACATTATCTGGTGGGATATTAACTTTTATGTTGATGTAAATGATACCTTTGCACCAAGCAAAGCAAACATGAGTTAACTTAAAATAGGAAAAAAACTGAAACGTCGCACTTGAAATTATTATTGCGTCAGAAATAACACCACACTTTTTGCATGATAAAGTTGAGGTAATCTAATAGAATTTAGTTTATGACTGTATCATTTATTATCTATTATCTCGCCATAATCATATCTTAGTGTCTTAGTTATTATATTAGCCGTGCCATTCATTTGTATTAGCATTATTGTTTATGCCAACTTTCTGCACTTTATACTAGCGACAACTGGTAGCTATAAATCATTTGGAGCAGACATCCTAAAATTGCAACGGTGATATCAGAATGGGGAGCATCTGGCCTTTCAGCGTAGGAGCAGCAGCGGCCCTATATATGTTTTAAATGCTTGAACAAGAATACATTAAATTGAGCAAAAGCAGATATCTCAGTTTTGAAGATTTGTCCAAAAAGTTCTACAATCTTCAACAAGTTTTGTTATTGACAGTACAATTTAAATTGCTTTCTCAAGAAGGGGTGAAACTTTAGTTGTATGGTGTTAAAATAGATCTGGCTTGGTAAAAGGCAAATTTTGAATGAGCGCTGTGTATGGAGCGATGGACTCTGTGTGTGAGGAGGAGGAGCAGTGAGCGACTCCTGTGTGTGAGCCGGTGTGAGAGGAGGTGAAGGAGGCGGAGGAGGAGGAGGAGGCGGAGGAGGCGGAGGAGGAGGAGCGAGACACAGGTGATGTTTAGTCCGAATGTATGCCAAAAACGTATTATAAAAGCTTTAGCAAACAGCGCATGTCCTGCTTCAGTGCTCACTGCGAGTGCAAAGGATTTTGGAAATAAAAAGCGTGTGTGGTAAGAGTGTGTGGAGGCAATGACAGAAACGTTATTTGATGGAAAGAAGTCCGTCTGATCCCCTTATCATCCACAATGAACATGTGTTGCTTAAGCTTATGTTTTCAGTCATTATTCAATGGTAAACTAAAAATCCAGGTGAAAAAAATTACTTCTCACTGTTCTCAGGTCAAATATTTATATGCGATTAAAATGCAATTAATTGCAATTAATTAATCACAAAGCCTCTAATTAATTAGATTAATTTTATTGATCAAGTCCCAGGCCTAGTCATAAGGCAAAATGGTTAAACATGCAACACACACATAAATATTGCTTACAAATTGCCACTTTTACATTGATTCTACCTCTTGACCATTATTTCTCTGACTGATGTTCTTTTTTTACCTCATTGGAAGGATCACAGTCGGGTCACATTATCTTGTCCGTATAACGAGTGCAGACTTACCACTCCATATGCGATGGTATCACTATACATCCTCATCTCTGGGTAGATGTTGACCAGATACCATCGGAAGGTCTTGCACTGCAGCCTCTTCCTCAGGGCTTTCCTCTCAGAGATGTCCCCGATATCTATTCCAGAGTCCTGGGAGAAAGGGGGATTATTACTTCAGTGAGACAAGGCTGACTGCACTCCCTAAGCCACTGTTGGAACACAATCTCCACCATTGTTATGTTTTCATGTGACGTTATGAGTCACGCTGGATGTTTAGTGATTTGAGGCGGAAGGTAAGGGAACTGTCTGAACCCAAGATGCACAAATTTACAACCAGCAGCTCTTTCATGTTGAAGCTTAAAATTTCTGCGATTTTGTGCTGGCAGAAAAGACATTAAGAAGACCCAGTAATTACAGAGATAATAACCATGAGCCATCTAATCTACAATCTGACAGCAAAAGGGCATCTCAGACATGTCCCCTGCTACAGCTAGGATTGTAAAATTGGTTTCAGGTTCATACAATAATATGAATAATATGAATCTCTCATGGTTTGTTTGTTCTCATTTGTTTTGTAGCCCTGTGTGTTCCTTCACTAGCGGACAGAACAACTCAGCACGTGTAAAGTCCAGGATTGAACGTTTTCAGTAAATTATTGTTGTTTTGAGGTTGTGGTCCCTTCAAAGTGAAATACTTCAAAGCAGCATGTGCAATGCATCTGTGTGAGACAATTGCTTTTGTTGCACCTGAAAAGGGAGTGCATTGAGAATACTGTAATGCAACAGAAAATGAAAAAAGATTTTAACAGTGACAGATTATGCAAAGAATAGTGTTATTATTATTCTAACTTTTAAAAACTTCAGACCATGTTACAACAGCGTGACTGGAGTAGTTTTTTGATCCATTCTTGCAAATACCAGGAACTTTTATGAGTAAATGTAAATATCCATAACTCCTTCTGCCTACAACCTCCTGTCTCAGTGCTGTACTAGTATATATATAGTAATAGTATGTCATTGTACCACTGCATCACACTCTTTTCTGACAAAAAACATTAGTTCTACAATTACGTTCTTTATCATTTGTATTAGCTGCCAAAACCTTTTGGGAAAAAAAAAAAAAAAAAAATTGAATTCAAAATAGTTACTTTTTTTTGGTTACATTTGAAACATAATTCAGCATTAATCTTCAACTTCTGAAATATTATTTCCCATTTTAAAATACAAAAAAAAGAAAGAAAAGAAAGTCTAATTATTTGCCTAAAATAATGCATAATATTATTTTATCTAAACTTAACTTTTGGATGTTAATTTTGTATTGCAGCATTTACAAACCAGTATTCTTGTGCATCTGTCACTAGAACACTTGAATATTGATGCATTAGAACACTAGATCATCTCCATTAGTGGAACAATCAGTCACTTGTAGGTGGTAAGTTTCAGACACAAGCAGGAGTTGGGTAAAAGGGGAACAGAATCTTTAGTGCTGTTGATGCACACATAAGTACTGTTTGTAAGAGTTCTATTGTTAATTAATGATTCCATCAAAAGTTGGTGTTGACCTGAGAAATGACTTTCTAGGTGAATAACACAATTACCTTTGCTCTATGAGGCCCAGGCTACATTTCATGCTTCTTAAGCACAGGCCTGTAAAACGCTTCATTATTGACTGAACGAATCGCCTGCAGATGTTCAACTATTCATAACATGGATTTACATATTCAAACAGATTATGCAGGAAGGCAGGAAAAGCATTTGATTTAGCCTTTGAGGTATGAAACATTTTACATAAAACAACAAGATCATTTCCATGTTATTAAATCCCTTAGCTCAAAAAAAGCTGTGAAATCAAACTAAATATACAGTAGTTTGCAGTAAAAACACAAGATTTCTCTTTGTTAATGTTTTCATCTTGAACTGGTGAAACAAACATTAGATAAAAATTAAATTGTTAAAAAAAGATCATGGTTTCATCATCTGTATCTGGTTTAAGCTTTTCCCCTAATAAAGTATGTATTTATTCCTGCGCACGTATTTAATTGAGGCAAAAGTGTTGATAAATGATTTTGTGTCTTGCGGTGGCCTGGAGGCCTGATTTCACTAAACGTCTGTGACAGAAAGAATAGATGAGCGCAGCTGACACTGGACCTCCTAACATTTAGATTTTTAATCCTGCAGATTTATGGCCGCTCTCTGTGCCTCCTGTATTTTAATATGGTCTTTGTGGAACCTCTTCACATCTCGCTACTTGACTTCAACAAAGGCACAAGTCTGGAGGTCGAATGCTGCAATCATAATTTTCCAAACTTTTGTTATATTTAAAGTTCTGATGGCAAAATAGAAATATTTATAAACAAGCTTTTGTGACCATTCAGTCGATCTCAGCCAATCCCTTTGATGTCAAGCAGAAGTACACTCAGCATATTATGAATGATGAGTTTGACTTAGGGTAAAAGACCGAGCCTCTATGAACTTGTTAATTAAAATGCATTTCTGTTGATGTCATGGAAGTGCACATTTGGACAAAAGTACAAAAGAACGTCACCAGCCCTTTCTATCACCACAGTTTTGTGGTGTATTAGTGTGAAGTCTGACCTCCTGTGGAATGTTCCAGGCCATGTACACGTGGCTCTTGAACTCGTCCATCCAAACCTCCGCCACTCTCAGAGCGTTCCGCCGCACGTGGGACGTCAGGTCCTCTGTGTACGGTTTGTGAGCACGCTCAATGTGCGCAATCCGGGAACAAGGCAGGACCTCCACACTGCCCCCACACTGCCACACCTGCGGAGACAGGAGCACCAATCAGAGATGAGCTGGAGCTAATGACCTCATCTACGCACTCTTCATTCATCAACACTACAATATATTTTAAAGGAATAGTTCACCGTTTTTACCTACTGACATATGTTCTTACCTTACCTTAGACTAGTTAATACTAGGGATGTAAAAAACTATGAATTTTCATGACCGACCATCGAGCCTCATTAACCGGTTGAAACCGGTTAACCGCGTAGTTTAAAATAGTCCACGTTCTTTGAAATAACAGCCATTTCGAGCCGCGTACTTTTCATAAGTGCAGCTCTGCGTTCTACTGGATCAGAGTTGAGACAGCGGCGCCAAAACCCGCAACAGCTCCGGCACCTTTGCGCACAGAGAACTGCTTTTTTAATCTTCCCATTCTGCTGTGCTGCAGGTTAATACCAAAACTTTCTAGCAGCAAACGACGGCTCGTTCACATGGTCAGAGCAGCGACGAGCCGCGTCTCACAGGTCTTCACAAAAGTTTAAATACAAGTGATGTGTGTGGAGCTGATCCCGAGGACCATAAACACAAACATGTTCCATGTGGTTTGACTGGAGCCGTGTATTTGCGCGAATCCTTTGGGCTCCGTGACACAGAGGAGCGCGACAGACCGGTATGTGTGTGTGTATGTATGTATGTGTGTGTGTGTATGTATGTGTGTGTGTATGTATGTGTGTGTGTGTATGTATGTGTGTGTGTATGTATGTGTGTGTGTAAATGTAAGCTCCAATGTAGTTCTGACCCGCGCCACTGTGCAGCTTTGACGGTAACAGAGGGGAGAGATGATGCGTGTGGATGTTACGTATGGAGAGGGGGAAAGTGTGTGTGTGTGTGTGTGTGTGTGCGCGCGTGCACATATGTGGCTCGTGCGGCGTGAGAGTCGTCCCGGAGTTTATAATACATGGGTGCACACAGCTAGATACAGACCCGCTCGTCACACCGTGCAAATAGGGCTTAAAATAGCGTTATTAAGAGACCTCCCCTCTCCCCTTTTTCTCTTTTTTAACCGACAGCTTTGACCGGTTAACGCTGTGACGGTCAACCACCGGTTAAACGGTCGCCGATTTACATCCCTAGTTAATATGTACCTGTCTGGTCTTAGTCCGTGCGCTCTGTCATGCAAACGGAGCAAAAACGGGAGCACAAACGCAGCCTCCTCTGTATACTGTGTAGGACCAAAAGGTAGCTCCCGCTAGAAGCTACCAAACTCTTCCAAGTGTTCCCTATTAAATATATAGTTACGTGACGTGTTACACTGCAAAGTATAGTAACACAGAAATGTAACCGTCGATTTTCTCAGCGGATAAAACGGGTACTATATTGTGAGGCGTAGTAATCTGAGGAGCGCTACGTCCGCGCACTAACTTCTCTCCGTACTACAAGTCACGCTGCTTCTATTGACGGAAGAGTGCGAGCGAGAGAGAAGTCTCCGGAGAGAAGTTAGTGCGCGGACGTAGCGCTCCTCAGATTACTACGCCTCACAATATAGTACCCGTTTTATCCGCTGAGAAAATCGACAGTTACATTTCTGTGTTACTATACTTTGCAGTGTAACACGTCACGTAACTATATACATTTAATAGGGAACACTTGGAAGAGTTTGGTAGCTTCTAGCGGGAGCTACCTTTTGGTCCTACACAGTATACAGAGGAGGCTGCGTTTGTGCTCCCGTTTTTGCTCCGTTTGCATGACAGAGCGCACGGACTAAGACCAGACAGGTACGTATTAACTAGTCTAAGGTAAGGTAAGAACATATGTCAGTATGTAAAAACGGTGAACTATTCCTTTAAGCGTCACTGTTTACCTTCTGTACATTTTCTTTGCAATAGTGGGAAGATTATTTCCTTTAATTTGTACTAAAAATTGTATTTGAGTAATAATTTGAGCTCATTGTGCACGTGTTTCAGCACAACATTATGATATATATTCAGATTCAGACTCAGATTCAGACTACTTTATTTATCCCACCAGGGGCAATTCATTTGAGCAGCACGTAACATAAAAACACAGGAAATAAGTAATTTGACATGAAGTGGAGTCCCATACAAACATATGAACATGATATAACAATACAGCTCAAACATCAGAGTCCACATCCAGCTACAGAGAGTTCAGCAGTCTAACAGCAGTTTGGACAAAAGATTTTAAATGACGATTGGTTTTACAATGTGGTGCAACAAAAACGTCGTCCTGATGGAAGCAAAGTGAACTCATCATTTAAAACATGATCAGTGGACATTATGATGCGAGCCTTTCTCAGTTTCGAACAGACAATTCTATCAAGACTATTTTTGTCTTTACATTATATACAATGTAAATACAGTTTAGAAGCAAATAGGGCGTTGATGTGTTAAATGCTATTATTTTTCACACCACATATCTGAAGTGATATTGCCATTTGACAGATCAACGTCTCAACAAAACAATACATTCATATTTGAAAGTCCTGGAAGTTAAGCCCTGAATGCATGGGAGAATGTGAGATCATTCAGGTCAATAGAGAGTAAGGCGTGAGGATGTATGTGCAGCAGGTGGAAGTGTCAAACCAGCAACGGAGGAACTCAAAAAGGTCCCAATCATGTTTCATGTTCATGTTTAATTGTTTAGAGCTAATTAAATTAAATGACTGATGTCCCGAGAAAAAAAAAAAAGGTCTGGCTACAACTAACCCTGGTCCTCTCAAGTAAATATTACGTTATGTGGCCTAATAACAAGATTAATATTGCATGGTCCCTCCTAAAATTGGAGCAAACCAATTCATCATGCATTTATCATGTCCTATGAAACTAAACCAGTAAAATTGCCAAAAAAAACCTATATTTTACTTGAGAATTGAGGCCCCATGTGTAACAGGTGTGTGTGGTGAGTTTAAAATCCTATCAATCCTCAAATTTCACCTTCAAATATCCTCTAATAGATTTGTGGACCACTGTACTTTTCAAAATAATAGCGCAACAGTTACAACCTAACAAACAATGGTGAGAAATGGAGTGTTAAAAATCCCCTGTGCAGTCAGTCGTGATGGAGCGTTTTCAGCTTCAACAAGTCACATGCTGCTTCTCCTGCAGTGCACCAGGTCCCTATAGTGAAAAATGCTGCTATCAGGAGGAGACCAAAGTTTTAGTGATTTAAAGTTACTGCATTATTCTCCACATAACGATGACCTCGACCAAACCAACGGCTGATACAAGTATAAGTAAGTGGAGAATGATGGAAAGCAGGTCAAAGAGGCTCAGCACACACATACCACACCCTGATGTTATCTCTTACTGCCTTTCTATAGTTCCAAGGCATTATCCTATAACAGCTATGAGTAATATTATTTATACATTCAGACCCTCTGCTCTTTGTGGGGGGACGTTGTTTGGGGGCGACAGTGGCTCAGTTGGTAGAGCATTGGCCTTTGAACCTGAAGGTCGTGGGTTTGATCACCCCACAAGACCTACTCCAACTGCACCCACTAATGTCTGCTGTCGTTGTGTCCCTGGGCAAGACACTTAAACTGACATTGCCTGAAGCCCGCACTGGAGCATCTTCCTGTGGATCCACCACCCATACGCTCCCGGCCCAGAAATAGACTAATAAAAAGGGGTAGAAAATGAATGAATGAATAGGGCTGTAACAAGTTAAATCATTAATTGTAACTAGCCACTCATTGAAATAGTTCACTAAATTGGTAATAGATTAATACTTTTTTGAACTCCATTGACTTAAACAAGCTGAGACGAGGTTTTATGATTCAGATAATTCTATAATGACTGCATAATTAAATTCTTATTATAAATATAAATTCTTATAATTAAAGTCTTTTTAATAATGAAAAACCCCCCAATGTGGGACAGTTATCTCTGTGAAGATGTTGTCCAGGGGCATCACTTTGTTTTGGTCATATGTAAAATCTAATTTTCAATGACCATTCGCAAGACAACAAATTCATCAATTGAAAGAATGATCGGCTAACTAACCAATTTTCAAAATAATAATTATTAACAGTCATAGGTGGTATATTGGTGTAAATGGCTGCTTTTACACTGCTAAAATGATATTTGTAAGTGAAAAAGTGCTAATGGAACAATGGGATAATGTCTGATTTAATTAAAGCCATTTCTCACTTGAAATTAGGAGAAATGCATTTTCTAATCTTTTTAATCTTATTGTAGAACAGACAACATGTGGTAAAAGCAAGAATTTTATTGTATTGTATGCGACTGTATTATTTACCTCTATCACATTTTTAGATCAGAGAGTACCCACCCTCACTTGGCCAATCAGAAGTATGCAAACAAATACATTCTTAATAATAACAAAATAATAATTTTCTGGTTTGTTCATAAAATGTTACTTAAGCAAGATCTTTATTTTAACAAACAAAATGTGTTTCTGAAACAAAAAAAATGAAGGTACTGCAGCTTTTTTTCTGTTTTTATCATTGCCGTACACTCTGTCATTTTCTGTTGTGTTAATAATCACACAAACAGACTTAACAGGGCCACAGAGAAAGCATGTACAATTATTAGTATTTTTTTTCATATCTTTCTGCAAAGGTTGAGTGTAGGAGATGGTGAAATGCTGGATGTGGATGTAAACACATAATTACTGAATGGAAGGCAGAGCAGAGCGTGTGCGCTGTAAAGAAGCATCAGACGATCTGTCATAAGCAGAAGGCACAGGACTGGGCCCAGTTCTCTCTGTGGATGGCGGAGAATTACCACACTGTGCTTTTGTGTGGAGCTGAAAAGCACAGCTGATGTCTGCAGCAGCAACAACATAATCTGCAACACTATAAAACACAGCATTTAAAGCATTTTTTGTTTAAATCTGAGTTTAATCTTCACTTGTGTCTTGTTATTTAAATACCTTTTTGTTTTGTTTCTTTCTCTCATACTAAATTCTATTGATGCGGTCGGAATAGACTGGGATTTCAGCCTCACTAATTATACTTTCTCTTTGTGTGTATTTGCAATTTTATCTCGCATGAA